GTTAGTTTGGGTTATATGCTAAAGACATTGCACTTTAGGGGTATGGTCAGGAGCAAAATGGAGTTAGTTATTCTAGACCTCCTTTTCATGGTTATGCTTGTGAATCATTAAACCTGGGAGTGGTCTTGGGTACCCCCAACAAGAGATGGAAAGTTTGACTGAATTTTAGCACAATATGGTAACAGAGGGGAGAGCCAGCTGTTGTGATGATAGGGAAGTAGGATAAGGTACCATCAAGCTAGCTTCCAATGAAAAAGAGTGTTTACCTGGGAGTACTAGGTCCCACAGGTATAGGAAGGAGCATGGCAAATGAGGTGAGAAATTCTACTCAAATAGTGGCCAGGCACAGTGGCTCATGCCTGTAATCATTGCACTTTGGGAAGCCAAGGCGGACCAATCACCTGAGGTCAGGAGTTCGAGACTAGCCTTGCCAACATGATGAAACCCAGTCTCTACTAAAAAATACAAAAAATTAGTCAAGCGTGGTGGTGCACATCTGTAATCCCAGCTATTTGGGGGCTGAGGCAGGAGAATCACTTGAACCCGGGAAGCGGAGGTTGCAATGAGCCGAGATCGCGCCACTACACTCCAGTCTGGGTGACAGTGAGACTCCATCTAAGAAAGAAAGAAAAGAAAAGAAAAGAAAAGAAAGAAAGAAAGAAAGAAAGAAAGAAAGAAAGAAAGAAGGAGAAAGGAAGGAAGGAAGGAAGGAAGGAAGGAAGGAAGGAAGGAAGGAAGGAAGGAAAGAAAGAAAGAAAGAAAGAAAGAAAGAAAGAAAGAAAGAAAGAAAGAAAAGAAAGGAAGGAAGGAAGGAAGGATGGAAGGAAGGAAGGAAGGGAAAGAAAGAAAGAAAGAAAGAAAGAAAGAAAGAAAGAAAGAAGGAAAGGAGGGAGGGAGGGAGGGAGGGAGGGAAGGAAGGAAGGAGAGAGAAAGAAAGAAAGAAAGAAAGAAAGAAAGAAAGAAAGAAAGAAAGAAAGAAAGAAAGAAAGAAAGAAAGGAGGGAGGGAGGGAGGGAGGGAGGGAGGGAGGGAAGGAAGGAAGGAGAGAGAAAGAAAGAAAGAAAGAAAGAAAGAAAGAAAGAAAGAAAGAAAGAAAGAAAGAAAGAAAGAAAGAAAGAAAGAAAGAAAGAAGGAAAGAAAGAAAGAAAGGAAGGAAGGAAGGAAAAGAAAAGAAAAAAGAAATTCTACTCAAATAGTGATCTTGTTGAGAAGATGACCAAGTTAATTCAGTTATAGAGGTCAACATCATATATCTTTCACTTCATTAGACTTGCCAACATCTTTCCAAGGAAATTGTTTTTGGAATTGTCATGGATATTCGATTTTGCTTTATTTGTTTGCTATCATTTTTGTAATTAGTTTCTGCTACACTAGACCCTTTATCCATCAATACCACAGTGTTTATTCAAATACATTCCCACTACTTGTCTATGAATGTTATTGATTATTGAGTATTGATTAGAGAAAGAAAGAATCTCTTATATGGGTAGCAGGAACAGAAAAGTTAGCTTATAGAAAGAATTAAATCAGTAAATTTAGATACAATTGTGCAAATAAGCTAGTCTTGACAGGAAAGAGAAACCCTGGGAGATTCGACAAAACAAGAAAGGAAAATGGCAGAATGAGAATCGATTTGCATTCTTTCAACCATAAGAATGAGGATGTTGATCTGGTTAACTTCCTCTTGCTAGCAGGTCTGGGGAGAAATTGGAAAGACAAAGATTCAGATCGTGAAGGGCAAGAATAAGACACGTAAAGCACAGTCACGTTGAGCTGCTGGTTTTGGTGACCTATGGCTCCCCGGCGACTATGATTGGAGTCTGAAGCTGAGAAGTCATGAGGCTAAATGTCCTGATTGTCTTGCGCAGCTGCTTAGGCCTTGCTGCTTGAAAGGAGACACCAGAAACCAGGAACCTGAGACTGGGATAAAGCAGATGCTTTCTCTCCTGGTGCTCTGGGAAGGGAGTTTGAAGTAATCTAGGCGCTTGCTGCTTGTGCCTTCATCCTGGGGGGTAGAATCACCTTGAGTGGAGGTAGAACACGTGTATCTGCCAAACTGTGATTCTCTAAGGGCAAAGATTATGTCTCTGTTTTTGTTTGTTTGTTTTGAGACAGAGTCTCACTCTGTCGCCCAGGCTGGAGGGCAGTGGCGCCATCTCGGCTCACTGCAAGCTCCACCTCCCGGGTTCACGCCATTCTCCTGCCTCAGCCTCCGGAGTAGCTGGGACTACAAGTGCCTGCCACCACCCCTAGCTGATTTTTTTTTTTTTTTTTTGGTACTTTTAGCAGAGACGGGTTTTCACGTGTTAGCCAGGATGGTCTTGATCTCCTGACCTCGTGATCCGCCCACTTTGGCCTCCCAAAGTGCTGGGATTACAGGTGTGAGCCACTACGCCCGGCCCCCAAAAGGAAACTCTTGATTTGACCTCCTGCAAACTCCCAGCCTGATCCTCTTCTCATCACAGTAAATTACACCCATGGTCCCCTTTTTCTCAGGCCAAACTCCAGTCACCTGGGCAACATCCTTGGCTCATCCTTTTGCTCACGCTCCAGCCATTGTGTTACCCCAAGACCCTCAGATCTGTCCACTTTTCTCCATTGCCCTCCCACCCCCCTCTTTCTCCCTGATTACCACAGGGCCTTCCCTCTTGAACAGGGACAAGAGCTCCCCAGTCTGACTCTTGTCCCTGTTCACTTTGGCTAAACTGCACTTTTAAAAACAGTTACCAGAGGTGGGGCGGGTGGATCACCTGAGGTCAGGAGTTCAAGACTAGCCTGACCAAATATGTTGAAACCCTGTCTCTGCTAAAAATACAAAATTAACTGGGCATGGTGGCATGTGCCTGTAGTCCCAGCTACTCGGGAAGCTGAAGCAGGAGAATTGCTTGAAGCTGGGATGCGGAGGTTACAGTGAGCCGAGATTGTGCCACTGCACTCCCACCTGGACGACGAAACAAGGCTCCATCTCAAAAACAAACAAACAAAAAACTCAAATATCAATACAAACACCACCATACCGACAATATTAGTACGGGTAAGGGGATGGTGGGAAAAGAGGAAGATACAGAATTCCTCATATTTTGTGCAGAGAGTCAATAGAAAGATTCAATATGTTGTTGAAAACGAGATGCAAACATGGATGCTCAGAGAGTGTTACGAGTTGGTGGGATGTCCACGCTGCGTGGGGACTGGGGGCAGCGCTGGTCAGAGCCTGGGCAGCAGACAGGACATGGGTCAGCCCAGAGAGGAATGGCAGAGCTCATGAAGGGTGAGGTTGGGGGTGGGGGAGTCTGGAAAATAACCGTGATTTCATCATTTTCTAGCCAAGTGATCCTTTATCTTTGAGCCTGTAGAGCGCCTTCACGGCATTTACCAAGGTCTTTTTCTTTATTTCGGTGATACCCATACTTGAACAGTGCCTAGTACTTAGTGGATGTTCAATACATGTTTTTGTTTATTTTTTATTTTTATTTATACATATTTTTAAGACAGAGTCTCCCTCTGTCACCCAAGCTGGAGTGCAGTGGTGCAATCTCGACTCACTGCAACCTCCACCTCCCAGGCTCAAGAGATTCTCATGTCTCAGCCTCCCAAGTAGCTGGGATTATAGGTGTGCACCACCATACCCAGCTAATTTTTGTACTTTTAGTAGAGATGGGGTTTCACCATGTTGGCCAGGTTGGTCTCGAACTCCTGGCCTCAAGTGATCCACCTACCTCGGCCTCCCAAAGTGCTGGATTACAGGAGTGAGCCACCGCGCCCGGCCTTTTCGAATGAATGACGGTGGGGAGCGAATAAGAGTCTCACTTGGGTACAGAGATTGACCTGACAGAGGGCAGCTGGGTGATCCTGGTTCATGTTCCCAGAAGGGAATTTCTGTTATTTAACCTCTGTCCTAACCACCAGATGGTCCCTCTGGGCAGGGGGCTCAGTAATTAGAGTCCAAGACTGAGCACCACCCCAGGGACCCAGGCAGGCAGTACTGAAGAACCTGCCAACCCCAGCTCACAGTTCTAGCTCTGGCATCTAGTTTGTGGATTATGTCACAGTCCCCAAAATGTATGGGCGATCTCCCCATATACCTCAAATTGAGAGTAGCAGCCAACTGCAATGCTCTTAAAAGAGGTAAGAAAACGTAACAATCGACACAAATAGAAAGTGTTACAGTGACGAAAGGTGGCTGTGATGTCCCAACATCTTCAGTCATGCTCGTCCAGGAAGCTCCCGACTTCCCTTCCCCACAAGTGGCAGGAGAGCAGCGGGCACAGCAGCCTGGAAACCTCTGCTCTCTTCTGTACTCGTCTTTCCTTGAGTTGGCCCATTACCAGAGTTTGGTTCCGTTTTTCTGTTTTCATGGGTTTAGGATTTTGAAACCCATTATTGACTGGAGCCTTGAACCCCACGGAATGCAAAGACAGGTCCGTTAACATTGCAGGTGGCTCACAGACTTGAGATCACGAACATCCACTGTGGCACAGGCGCCTCAGGGGAAAACGCATTCTTCTTGTGTTTTCTTCTGTTGGAGGCCTCAGAAGGAAGAAGGGCTCTGTCAGGCCCTAGGGACTGTGCAGAGAAGGGAATAGCCCCAGGTGGCACGGCTGCAGGAGATAAGGGACTAGGGGGCTGTTCCCTGAAGCTGGGGCCAGCACTGCCTCTAGAACCAGTCACTTCTCCAAAGAAATGTTGTTTATCTGCCAGGTGTGGTGGCTCATACCTGTAATCCCAGCACTTTGGGAAGCAGGCAGATCTCTTGAGGTCAGGAGTTCGAGACCAGCCTGGGCAACATGGTGGAAGCCTGTCTCTACAAAAAAAATTTTTTAATTAGCTGGGCGTGGCAGCATGTGCCTGTAACCCCAGCTACACTGGAGGCTGAGGCAGGAGGATCGCTTGAGCCTGGAGGGGAAAGTTGCAGTAAACAGAGATCACACCATTGCACTCCAGCCTGGGTGACGGAGCAAGACCCCATCTCTAGAAAGAAAATTAAAAAAGAAATTTTAAAAAAAGAAAGAAAAGAAAAGAAGAGAAGAGAAGAGAGAAAAGAAAAGAAAAGGAAAGAAAGGGTTCTTTCTTCTGTGGGAGGGCCCTTCTCCCTGGACAGGATGTCAGTGGGCATTGGGACTCTCATCATCGGGCTGATTCTTCCTCCCTCAAGACCTTCTTTGTGGCCTGTTCACCCAGAGAACGGCTCCCAGCATGCCCAGGAGCAGAGGCAGCTCCAGGAGTAACAGGAACAGGAAGTGGGTGCTGCTGAGCAGGGACCTGTGGGAACATGGTGACAGGAAATGAGCTGCGTCCTGGGTCAGAGGTCTCAGGTCTTCTTAACTCTATGCCCAGATCCTAGCTTCCAATGTCTATGTGAGGGCAAGCCTGGAACCCCAGCCAGGACAGCCCCCTTGGCAGTGTACAGTCATGCTGCTCACCAGCGAGGCCTCCAGTCCTCCCTACACCCCCAGTCAACTCAGCCTGGCATTCAAGGTCCTGTCTGCCAACTCCCATCCAGCCTTTTTGGCTGGTCTCCCATAACTCCTCCTCACCTATCTTAAAGGGGTTTAGCATTCCCTGTCTCTTCTTACCTCGGCTTCTGCTGCATTCTGCACCCAGAGGGCCTCCCCACCCTCATCGCTACCTGTGCAAATGCTACCCACCTTTCAGGTGTCAGATCTGACGTCTTATCCTTGAAGGCCTTGGAGGTTGACCTTGCTCTGACTCTCTGCCTGTGGACCTGCACCTGACCCTGGGGTTCCTTATGTTCCCTGTTACTTTCTATGGGTGTGTAAGGCCCGGAACCTTATTGACCATCAATTCCACCCCCTCACCATCCTCCACCCACTTCCCAGGGTCTTGACCTCCCAACTTGTTTCTTTCACCTCAGCACAACTTGAGGCCACTCTCAGCTCACGGATAAATTTTAAAAATCAGACCAGGAGTGGTGGCTCGCACTTGTAATCCCAGCACTTTGGGAGGCCAAAGCAGGCGGATTGCTTGAACCCAAGAGTTCAGGACCAGCCTGGGCAACCTAGTGAGGCCTCATCTCTGAAAAAAAAAAAAAGAGAAAGAAAAGAAAGAAAGAAGGGAAGGAGGGAAGGAGGGAAGGAGGGAAGGAGGGAAGGAAGGAAGGAAGGAAGGAAGGAAGGAAGGAAGGAAGGAAGGAAGGAAGGAAGGAAGGAAGGAAGGAGAAAGAAGGAAGAAGGAAGAAGAAAGAAGGAAGGAAGGAAAGAAAGGAAGGAAGGAAGGAAGGAAGGAAGGAAGGAAGGAAGAAAGAAAGAAAGAAAGAAGGAAAGAAAGAGAAAAATCAAAATTATATCCTACCCCAGAATGCTGGATGAGCCCTCAGATGGGACTGAGGGTATTTGGGGGAGATGGAGGAGGGACTACACAGCAGGCCACAGGTCAAAATGCCCCCAAAGGTCCTTCCCAGCTTCTTCAATCTTGGGGCTCTCCCACTACACCTCTGGAGTCCCTTGTCCTCTGTCCCCTGACAGCTAAAATCCCATCAGTTTGCACAAAAGCATGGAGGAGGAAAAAAACAAAAAAGAAACAGTCAAGGAGTCCTAAAGCCAGCTCCGCGGGTGGAGCTCTGCAGACACATTCGCAGAACTCAAGATCGAGTGAACGAAAAAAAAAAAAAAAACCAGAGTTGAACTGCAGAGGGAACTGGCAGGCCTTGAGTTCCAGGAGGACTGAGCCAGAGACACAGGCCTCTGCGCTGCGCTCTAGCAGGAGCAGGAGGGTCTGTGGTTTGGGCTTCAGCCTTGACCTGGGGGACTTGACCATAGCAGGCCGTGATGGAACCCAATAGCTAGCTCACAGGTGCCAACCTCTGGGGACTCCTCTGGACACCTCCAAGGTTGGTGAGCATCAGACTAATCCTCCAGACCCCTCTTCCAGCTTGGGAGGGCGAGAACACTGAACTTCCAGCTTCCCCCTTTCCCTCTAGCATTTTCCACTCCCCTACTCTGGTGCCTGGGGAGAGGGAGGCTGGAACAATATTTGTTCTTGGGCAGAAACTAGGAGCAGATGACAGAGGTGTCTCTCCTAACCCACTAGAGATCAAACCTCGATATGCCCTCTTGACCCCAGGAGGTGGGTAGGGCATGTTCAGGCCCCTCTCCTGCCACCCTTAGTCGTGTGGTGGCTCATACCTGTGTTGCAGAGTTTGCCTTCATGTTGCCAACGCTTACATGGGAAATATTATTTTCCTCAAAGGTAAACTGAGGTTGGGGCAGCCCACCTGAGGTTTGCAGTGACTTTACTGATACAAAGATGCAACAGTGGGGGCCTATGGGGGTTTCAGCCTGAGTACCCCCAGAAGACAGGGTTATCAGAGTTAACAAATAAAAGCATAGAATGTTTAGTTAAATTTGAAGTTCAGATAAACAACATATGCTTTTTTAGTATAAGTATAGCCCATGAAATAGTTGGGATATACTTATGCTAAAAATGTTTTGTTGTTTGTCTGAACTTGCAGTTTAACTGGGCCTGCTGTTGTTGTATCTGGCAAACCCTGTTAGAGGAGAGGCCATGGGGCCAGACCTGTGGGAAAGTGGTGGGACCTGGCTCCACCTACCTGGTGAGGGGGCTGCTGGTCTTCTGGGTGGCTGCAGGTGTGAAAGCCAGGCTTGCTGTTGCAGTTGTCCATTCCAGGACTGGAGTTTGTGTGTCTAAACATACAAAGCAGAACACGGTTCACCCCTTCCATGGATGGCCCAGCTCTGGCTGTGGCCCTAAGACTTCTCCACCTAGGAATTAAGGAGCCTCTGCCTTGGGGTCCAAGACTCTCTGGTCAGTATCCAAAATATTACATGAATTATTTTCTAAAGAGAAGTTACTGAAGTATTACCATGTGAGAAATTCTGAGGAGCAGACTAAGGAGGGAATTTGCAATCACCAGTTGCATGGCACAGCTTAGCACACTCGACAGCGCTCTGCTCTCCTAGGGCTAGGCTAGCTCTTTTCTGAGTCTCAGCCACAGCCGAGGTGAACTCCTTACGGCCTGTTCTGTAGTGATTCGGCTGCTGGGCTTGTGGCCCTCTCGCTGAGCCACCTCTGGGGATCCCGGGATTCCTGGCTCTCTGCAGCCAGGCCCAGCGCCCTCCACCTCCGCTCTTCCCTCTCTGGCCCTTTCCTGTCTTGCAGCAGCTTTGAGATCTCACCCTCCCTATCCCCGTTGAAGTCTGGCTATATTAGATGCATCCCAGCCTCCGCTGTGTGCCAGTTCCTGCTGCACCACACCCTACTCACGCTGACAGTGTGTGTAGTGAGTTTTGATATTCAAAGTTTGCTTCTATAGCAGTCTAAAAATAAGAGATCATAGCATCATATTTGTCTTTTTTTAATATCATTTTCCTGTGATTAAATCAAGGTATAACTCACACATAATAAACTGTAAATATTTAAAGAGAACAATATGTTAAACTGATGTATGTGTATACCTGGTAACACCACCACCATGGTCAGGACTGTGAGCATATTCATAATCCCCAAGACCGCCCTCCTCCTTACTCTGTCCCCAGGTGTTAGGGATTGAACTGTGGTCCCCTAAAAATTATATGTTGATACCCTAGTCTCCAGTACCTCAAAATGTCACTGTATTTGGAGCTAAAACCTTTCAAGAGGCAATTAAAATGAGTCTGTTAGGGTAAGTCCTAATGCCATCTGACTGGTGTCCTTCTCTGAAGAGGAGATGAGAACATGTGGGGAGACACCAGGGCGTGCGAGCACAGAGGGGCAACCTCAGGAAGGGGTAGCAAGAAGGCAGCCACCTGCAAGCCAGGGAGGGAGGCTTCAGGCTCAACTGAACCTGCCAGCATCTTGCTCTTGGACTTCCAGCCTCCAGAACTATGAGAAATACATTTCTGTTGTTTATGCCACCCAGTCTGTGGTATTTTGTTGTGACAGCCTTAGCTAAGGGATGATAGCACTGATCCATTTTCTCTTACTATCAATGAGTTTGCATTTTGCAGAATCTAATATAAATGGAATCCTACAGTGTAAATCAAGTTTTTGAGCTGGTTTCTTTCATTCAGCATAACTATGTTATCTTTGGTATATCAGTAGAATATTCCCTTTTATCGCAAGTTGTATTCTATTGTATGGGTAGTTCACTTTTTTGTTGTTGTTTGTTTTGTTGTTGTTTTGTTTTGAGACAGAGTCTCTCTCTGTCGCTCAGGCTGCAGTGCAGTGGCATGACCTTGGCTCACTGCAACCTCCACCTCCCAGGTTCAAGCAATTCTCTGCCTCAGCCTCCCAAGTAGCTGGGACTACAGGTGAGTGCCATCACAGCCAGCTAGTTTTATTTTAATTTTTAGTAGAGACAGGGTTTTGTCATGTTGTCCAGGCTGATCTCAAACTCCTGGACTCAAGCGATCCACCTGCCTCGGCCTCCCAAAGTGCTGGGATTACAGATGTGAGCTGCCATGCCCAGCCCATATGTCACATTTTTTAAAAAAATTCCACTCACTTGAATTGTTTCCAGTTTTTTGCTATTACAAATAAAGCTGCTATGAATGTTCACATACAAGCCTCTGTGTGAACATAAAACTTTATTATCATTTTGACTCAATATGGAAGAACTGAGGGGCTGGATCATCTCTGGCAGGCATACGTTCCATGTCTGAAGAAACTGCAAACTCTTTTCCCAGGTGGTTGTATCATGTGCATTCCCACCTGCAGGGTGTGAGGCTCCAGGTGCTCTAGAGTGTCTCCAACACTTGGTGTCAAGGTCACTAATGTTAACTTTTGTTACAGGCTGAAAGAATAAGTCATGACCAACTCATTATATCACTGGAGGCTATGTGAGCGAACAGAAAACTATTCTTTTGAAAGCAGGATGTTGGAAAACGGCAACTGTGTCTGTTGCCAGACGGGGCGCTGAGGGCAGTCACACCCAAAGTGCAGCGTTCCTTGTGATTATCTATATGAACACCTGAAAACTGTTGTACAAAGAAAGCAATTATGTGAACCTGTGATAAATCAAGCAGTTGACCAACCATTACCTCTCCCTCCCTGCTCTTTCTACCTAATAAATACGAAGGGCTGTAGAAGCTCAGGGCCCTCGTTCACTAGAAGCAAGGAGCTCCCTGACCCCTTCTTCAAAACAGATCTCTTTGTCTTTGTCTTCATTTCTGCATTCGTCCCCCTTTGTTCAATCCTGTAGCAACCATCAGCGACAAGTGGTGGCCGGGACAGGAACGTGAGCAAAGAAGTTCTGCTGGAGCAGAGAAAGAGAAACTGACAAGACGAATGAGAAACCCCGGCACAAGTCAGCCAGCAGCCAATATAAGGTCAGTGGCCTAGAGAGGTACTGGGAATGGGAAGTTTTCTGAATCAGGGTAACATGGGGCAGAATTTGTCTATTGAGGTGCAACATTATGTGCATTTGCTTAAAGTTTTACTTAAATAATCTGGTGCTCAGGTTAGTTCTCAAACATTTACTAAGATGCTGAAGAAGGTCGCTACACATAACCCATGGTTTCCACAGACAGGCAGTCTCAGTGTAGAAATCTGGGACAGAGTAGGAGAAGGATTAAAACGGGCTCACCAAAAAGGTCTTAAAGTTGATCTTTCTGTTTTTTCTGCTTGGAGTTTTATCCATACAGTCCTCCTGCCATTATCTCCTTCTTATTCTGCTAGACAGCAGAAGTCATTTTCTGAGTCTAAAAATCTGAAAGAATCTTTTGTCTCACCCACAGTACCAATTAAAAATAATAAACAGCAGGAGGATGAAAATTGGCCTGTGTCGCCCCCTCCAGTAGCAGAAATATCTGTACCACCTCCTTCAGTAGCAGAAATAGAGACCCCAGTACAAAGAATTTTACGCTCTGCTGCTATAGCTGGAGAGCCCTTAGGACCCTGCACTTTTCCTATTTCCATAAGGCCCGATCCAAATAATCCGCAGCAGTTTATTCATGAACACACCCCACTACAGTTTAAGTTGCTGAAGGAATTGAAAGCTAGTGTAGTTAATAATGGAGTACAGCCGGGCGCGGTGGCTCAAGCCTGTAATCCCAGCACTTTGGGAGGCCGAGACGGGTGGATCACGAGGTCAGGAGATCGAGACCATCCTGGCTAACACCGTGAAACCCCGTCTCTACTAAAAATACAAAAAAAAAAAAAACTTAGCCGGGCGAGGTGGCGGGCGCCTGTAGTCCCAGCTACTGGGGAGGCTGAGGCAGGAGAATGGCGTGAACCCGGGAGGCGGAGCTTGCAGTGAGCTGAGATCCGGCCACTGCACTCCAGCCTGGGTGACAGAGCGAGACTCCGTCTCAAAAAAAAAAAAAAAAAAAAAAAAAAAAAAAAAAAAATGGAGTACAAAGCCCATTTACTTTAGGATTGCTAGAATCTATATTTGACGCTATGCACCTTCCACCCTTTGATGTAAAGCATTTGGCTCGCACTCGTTTGTCTGCTAGTGCATACCTGACATGGAGTTTAAATTGGCAAGAACTGTGTGCACACCAGGCTAGACAGAATCGTGCTGCTGGACACAGAGACATTACAGAGGATATGCTATTGGATAACGGTCCTTATTAAGATCTGGAACATCAAACGGCACTCCCAGACGCTGCTTACAAGCGGTGTGCCTTGGCTGCTAAACGTGCCTGGGCCACAATTCCTGAGGAAGGGGTCCCACCCAGTACAATCTTTTTTACATATCATGCAAGGGTGGCTTATGCATATTTTCTTGCAAGAGGCAGTGAAGCATCAGATTCCTCATACTGTGGCTGCAGAAATGCTAACCTTAACTCTAGCTTTTGAGAATGCAAATGCAGATTGTAGATGTGCACTGGCACCTGTGAGATGTACAAAAAACTTGGGAAATTTTCTCAAAGCTTGTCGAGATGTGGGAACTGAGCCTTATTGCTCTACAGTGTTGGCTCAAGCAACGGCTAATTTAGTAGTGGACAAATCTAAAAAGGGCCAAGGGGCGAATCCTAAAATGGAAAAATGTTATAATTGTGGAAAAATCGGACACTTCAAAAAAGAACACCGTCAGACCTCTGGGCAGAAGGGATCTTTTTTTTTTTTTTTTTTGAAACGGAGTCTCGCTCTGCCGCCCAGGCTGGAGTGCAGTGGAGTGATCTCGGCTCACCGCAAGCCCCGCCTCCCGGGTTCCCGCCATTCTCCTGCCTCAGCCTCCCGAGCAACTGGGACTACAGGCGCCGCCACCACGCCCGGCTAATTTTTTGTATTTTTAGTAGAGACGGGGCAGAAGGGATCTTATAATACAGTTCCCTGCACCCCCCAACAGAAAAAAACACGAGGATTTTGCTATCACTGCAATAAAGGAAATCATTGGGCTAGTCAATGCCACTCAAAATTTCATCAGAATGGCACCCCTTGTGGGGAAACGAGAAGGAGACCTGGACCCGGGCCCCACAAACAATGGAGGCATTCCCCATCCAGCCCACAGCCCCGTCTCAGGGATGGGTTGCCAGAGGCACATTGATTCCCACTCCCCAGGAACACCCTGAAGCGCAGGATTCGATCTCCCAGTCAGAGAACAGGTAACGTTAGTGGGAGGAGACAAACCCACCAACCTTCCCACTGGTATTTGGGGACCTTTGCCAACAGGATATATGGGATTAATTTTGGGTAAAAGCTGTCTTAATTTACAGGGCATTACTATAGTCCCAGGAGTTATGGAGGAGAAATTCAAGTAGCGGTAATGTCGCAAGATCTTTGGGGTTTTGAACCAGGAGAATGTATTGCTCAGCTACTGCTTATTTCCTGCAAGTTACACCCTTCTCCATGGAGGTCGGGAGTTCGAGACCAGCCTGTCCAACATGGAGAAACCCCATCTCTACTAACAATACAAATTAGCCAGGCGTGGTGGTGCATGCCTATAATCCCAGCTACTCAGGAGGCTGAGGCAAGAGAATCTCTTGAACCCAGGAGGTGGAAGTTGTGGTGAGCCGAGATCTTGCCATTGCGCTCCAGCCTGCAGCCTGGGCAACAAGAGCGAAACTCCATCTCAAAAAAAAAAAAAAAGAATTGATATTATCTGGTCCTGAACTCACCAAAGGGCCATCTGAGCCTGACATTTTCTTTGTGAAAAGACTGCAAATGACAAATTCTATTTCATTAATAGATACAGAGCTATTCTAGTTATCTATTTCTTCTTGTGACTGGTAGTTTGCACCTTTCAAGGATGTTTTTCCATTTCATTTAACTTGTTGAATATATTGACATAAAAGTTGTTTACGACACATATTCCTTTATTATTCTTTTAGTAGCTGTAAAATCTGTTGTAATGCTACCTCTCTCATTTCTGATGTTAATAATTGATGTCTTCTCTCTTGTTTTTCCTGATCAGTCTAGCTAGAAGTTTAACAGTGTTTTTGATGTTCTCACAATGTGTGAGATGTATCTCATTTCATTTTTTCCCCATTACTTTTGTTTGCGATTTCATTAATTTTTCACTGTGGTCTTAATATTATCTGTGTTCTGGTCTTTGCTTTGAGTTTACTTTAATCTTTTTTTTTCCCTTGTTTCTTAAGCTAAGGCCATTGACTTGAGGCCCTTCTCCTTTTCTGACACAGGCACTTAGTGCTATAAAGAAGTTCCAAGAAGGCACTGGCAACGACTGGGGTCTCTGGTTACCAGGGAAAGGGGTCCCTTTGGCCCATGGGCTGAAACTGGAACCATCACCCTGTCATCTGTGGGCAACAGACTCGGACACTGAGCTGTTCAGAGAAAAACAAAATGTGCCTAGAAAGGCTTAATCCCATCCTGGAGGGAGCCCTGGGAGCCATGGGGGCATTGAAGAGATCCCCTCAATCCCAAGCGGTCCTTCAGGGTCCTATGAGACCTGTCTTAGTCTACTTTTTCTTGGTTATAACAGAATATCTGGAATTGAGTAATTTATAAAGAAAAGGAATTTGTTTCTTACAGTTATGAAGGCTAAGATGGCCGAGGTTGAGGAGCCACATCTTGGGAGGGCCTTCTTGATGGTAGGGACTCTGCAGAGTCCCAAGGTGGTTCAAGGCATCTCGTGGTGATGGAACTGAGTGTGCTAGGTCAGGTCTGTCTGCCTTTTCTTATAAAGCCACCAGTTCCATTCCCATGATAACTCATTCATTCTTTAATCCACGAATGGATTAATTCATTCATGGGAACTCTACCCCCATGACCCAGTCACCTTTTAAAGGCCTCGTCTATCAATACTGCCACATTGGGGATTAAGTTTCAACACGAGTTTTTGGGGGGACAAATATTCAAACCATAGCAAGACCTCAGGACTCAGCCACCCTCTGTCATAGGTGACTCTGAGTGACAGTTAATTTACTCAAGTGGGACCTCAGGGACCAGGACAGAGCAGGACCTGAGTGACACACACATATATACACTTCCTCTTACCTGGCTTAATGGTCACTTGAACGTTGACCCCAAGATCAATTCCAGTTTTCTCAATCCCACACCAATAACTGTCAGCATCATCTCTTTTAAGATTCTCCATGGTCACGGTGAATATGCGGTTTTTCTGATTGTCCCTGATGGACACCCGATTCTTCTTCACCTCCTGCTCTGATCCATTTGTTCTAACAAGGATGTTACAGCCATTCCAATCAGCTCCTCGACACCACCACTTCAAGTAAGTTTCCCAGCCTGAGCCGTAAGCACACTGCACAGTCAACGAGCCCCACTCCAAGCCATTCACTGTTGTTGGACCAGTGATTTCAGTGGCAATGGAGTAGCCTGGAAAACACAAATTCATGTGCCGTCACCTCCCACCCCAAGGGCAGGGCCACAGCCTCCTGCATTGGGAGTAGTGGCCAAATCCAACTGCCTCATAACAGTCAAGGAAGGAATATATTTTCCACAAGACAAATCTTTGTCCTTCAAAATTCCACTGGGTCAAAGTCACCAGGAAAATCACTGAAGAGCACAATTGCAGATCCCCAACGAAACACAAATGTTGACACTGAGCAATAATAGCTTCCTGCAGTTCACCCCTCTCCCTCTCCCTATGGCCAACAAATCATTGTATTCCAAGGAACGCTCTTTTGCAACCATCTTTGTGTTATACTGGTCTGATGGGGAGGAAATTGCAGAAGACCCTTTTCCAGGAGAATGATTGCTGCCTTGACGATTGGCTATTCCTGGTGATTCTGATGGTTTCTGGTGGCTCTGCTGTAGTTAATCACCCTGAATGAATCCCTTTGAAATTGACCAAATAGTGATACCAACTGGTCTGTATGTGCTATGGGATCCACATCACACAGATCTCCATTTCGCCATACATTGTTATAAATTCCAGTTCCAAAATTCCTAGGAAAAGCTAACTTAGATAAACGCAAGTAAAGGTTAGGTATAAACAGAGCGGCACCCATTCCACACTCTCCTGCATCTTATAAGTTCTTCTCTAAACATAATGGACATGATTCAAGTCAGCTAAAGGGTGAGGGATGGGGCATACCTAATTAGCTCCACTTTTCAAACAATTTGCTCCAGGACAAGACTAGTCTGCATGAACTTGTCAGCCTAATCTTTCACTTGAAAACAATTCAAACAGTGGAAATACCTTAAGTGAGACCTTTGTCAGAAAATCTTTAAATTCAACTGACCTAAAGGGAGACCCAGCTAAAGAAACGATTGATTTTGATTATTTGTGCACCGGTAATAAAGCGTAGCTGTGATTACTGCAGCATAAACTTGAGATCGAACTAGAAGCACATTGGAGCACTTGAAGAAGGCCTGGGAGCAATTCCCATGGAAGGAGAGAAGTTGTCTCTGAAACGCCAAGAGACACCCAAGGTCATGGTTAAGAGCTCAGGCTGTGCCAGAGGGCTTGGGTTTGAATCCTGGCTCTACCACTTACAAGTTTTGTGAACCTGGGCAAATTAACCTCTCTGTGTGATATGGTTTGGCTATGTCCTCACCCAAATCTCATCTTGAATTGTAGCTTCCATAATTCCCACGTGTTGCTGGGGGGACCCGGTGGGAGATAATTGAATCATGGGGTGGTTTTCCCCACACTGTTCTCATGGTAGTGAATACATCTCACGAGATCTGATGGTTATATAAAGGGAAACCCCTTTTGCTTGGTTCTTATTCTCTCTCTTGCCTGCTGCCATGTAAGACGTGCCTTTCACCTTCCACCATGACTGTGAAGCCTCCCCAGTCATGTGGAACTGTGAGTCCATTAAACCTCTTTTTCTTTATAATTTACCCAACCTCGGGTATGTCTTTATCAACAGCGTGAAAATGGACTAACACACTGTGCCTTCGTTTCCTATAAGTGGGAATAATAATGGCATCTACCTCTATGTTACTGTATTATGTTTGTTATTATTATTATTACCCCTGGAGGAATGAAAACTTTAGACTTCATTGGAATGTCTTGAAAAACCAGGGTTCACCATGGTAGGAGTGGAAGACAGTTTCACCACAAACAGGCAGAGCTGCACAACCCGAGGAATTCCTGGAACAGAAATTGGACTCTATGCCCAAATCTGCTTTCTATGGCATCCGAAGGGAACTAAGAAACTGCACACGACCTCCTGGGGAAAGATGGATTTGGGGGCTTCATTTGTTCACTCTGAAAAAAGTTCTGCATCAGAATGGAAAAACAACAATTAAGGTAAATATTTAAAGAAAAAATACATCTGGAAGTTATATAGGAAATAAGAGCTGGGTGTGGTAGCTCACACCTGTAATTTCAGCACTTTGGGAGGCTGAGGCAGGAGAGTCGCTTGAGCCCTGGAGCTTGAAAGCAGGCCTGGAAACATAGCGAGACTAAATAAATAAATAAATAAATATTAGCTGGGTGTTGCACTGTATGCCTGTAGTCCTAGCTACTTACTTAGGAGGTTAAGGTGGGAGGATGGCTTGAGCCTGGGAGGTCAAGGCTGCAATGAACCCTGATCCCAGCACTGTACTCCAGACTGGGTGACAGAGCAAACCCTGTCTCAGAAGGAAGGAAAGGAAGCAGAATACATCTGAAAATTTTTTACAGAAAGTAAATTTGAAGCCAGGCATGGTGGCTCACACCTATAATCCCCACACTTTGGGAGGCCAAAGTGGGAGGATCACTTGAGCCCAGGAGTTTGAGACCAGCCTGGGCATTAAAGTGAGTCCTCATCTCTACAAAAGAATAATAATAATAATAATAATAATAATAATAATAATAATAATCGACTTTAAAAGAAAATAAATTCGAGATTGGAAGGAAAAATTTTCTTACAAAGCTTGATCTGAGTGTAGATAATATAAGAAGTACATAGATGTGTTACATTTTAGCAGAAATGAAAACACTGCATATCAAAATTTGTTGACATGACAGCCAAAGCTGTACTCAAATATAAATCCTTGGAAAAAAATGTTTGATGATTCCTCAAAAACTTAAACATAGAGTTAACATAGGATTCAGCAATTATACCCCTAGATATATACCCAAAAGAACTGAAAACATATCTCCACACAAAACCATGCTATGAAAGCTCATAACATTATTCCTAACAATGTTTAAAAGGTGGAAACAACCCTAAGGTTCATTAACAAATGACTGGAGAAACCAAATGTGGTATATCCACTGTGAAATATTATGCAGCCATGAAAAAGAATGAAGCTCTGATTTGTGCTACAACACTGAGGAACCTTGAAACATCATGCTAAGTGAAAGAAGCCAGACATGGAATGTCACATGTTATATGATTCCATTCATATGGAATGTCCAGAACAGGCAGATTCCTAGAGACAAGAAAGTAGATTAGTGGATGCCAAGGGCTGGGGAAGGGGTTAACTGCTAATGTGTATGGGGTTTCTTTTTGAGGTGAGGAAAATGTTCTGGAATTAGATAGAGGTGATCTTTGTACAACTTTGTGAATGTACCAAAAGCCACCGAGTTATACACTGTGAGTAAATTTTATGGTGTATGAATTATATCTCAATTGGAAAAAACTAAATTCTTAGTCTTAACATAATTTAATTAATTTAGAAAGAAAAATAATCACAATATTTCATTTATTAAAGATAACAAGTGCTAATCCCAAGGAAATAAGAAGAAATTACATCTATAAGAAATGAATAATTAGATAATAAAATCAGTTAACATTAACCAACCAGATCTCAAAACTGACTAGTTCAATGTAGGAGAAAAGAGAATGTGGGAAAAGGAGAAGCAACAATAACGTGGAAAATCTTGTGGCACATGTAATCAAAATGAGCACCGTCATTCCTCGATATCCAGAGGGAATTGGTTCCAGGACCCTGTGGCTATGAAAATCTACAGATGCTCAAGTCCTTGATATAAAATGCCATGATATTTACATATAACCTACACACATCCTCCCATACACTTTAAATCTCTCTAGATTATTTATAATTCTAATGCAATGTAATTGCTACGTCACACATAGTTGTTAGACTGTACTATTCAGGGAATAATGAAAAGAAAAAGTCTGTACATGTTCAGGGCAAGCAGAGGGTTTTCTTTTCCAAATATTTTCCACCTGTAGTTGGTTAAATTGACAGATGAGGAACCCATGGATATATATGTTGGGCTGACTGTATATTACAACACGTATTAAAATTTTAAATTATAAAAGGATGCTTTATAACTACAGAACTTTATGCTAATATATACTTAATAATATTGTTAGCTTTCTTGGTAGAGGGGGGGTGGAAATGATATAATTTATTCAAAAACAAGCAAAAAAAACCCTGAATAGATAATAATCATGGTGGGGGTGGGGGGGAATCCAAACTATTCAAAGAATTTACCCTAGATCAAGGCTCTGTTGTCAGATAGCCTTATAGGTAATTTTGCAAGATTCTAAGGGAAAAAAATCCTTTATGATCTAATTCCAGAGCATTAAAAAATGGAAATCTGGCCAGGCACAGTGGCTCACACATGTAATCCCAGTACTTTGGGAGGCCAAGGTGGGCGGATTACGAGGTCAAGGAGCCAAGACCAGGCAGGCCAACATGGTGAAACCCCGTCTCTACTAAAAATACAAAAAAGTTAGCCGGGCATGGTGGTGCACACTTGTAATCCCAGCTACTTGGGAGGCTGAGGCAGGAGAATTGCTTGAACCTGGGAGGCAGAGATTGCAGTGAGCCGATATTGTGCCACCGCACTCCAGCCTGTGCAACAGAGCAAGACTCCTTCTCAGATAACGATTACGCACTGTCTAGCTGCCTGTCTTCCTCTTTATACTCTGAGCTCTTTAGAGGAAGTCTCTCAGAGGTGGCTAAGAACCAGTCAAGACCATGTATGGAGGCGTCTAAACCATCCAGATGCTTGAGCCCGCCATGACTGACTGAGTGGGTCTGAGCCGGAACCCGAGTATCCGTGCTCTTTAAAAGTTCTTCAAGAATGGACTCATTCATTAGTTCCTTCCTTCATTCATATCTGTTCATTCATCTGTTTATATAGAAGGGTCAGGGTTGAGAACCCTAAGGTTCATTAAAGTGAGTCCTCATCTCTACAAATAGTAATAGTAATAATAATCAACTTTAAAAGAAAATAAATTTGAGATTGGAAGGAAACATTTTCTTACAAAGCTTGATCTGAGTATAGATCATATGAGAAGCACATAGATTTGTTACATTTTAACAGAAATGAAAACACTGCATATCAAAATTTGTTGACATGACAGCCAAAGCTGTACTCAAATATAAATCTTTGGGAAAAAATGTTTGATGATTCCTCAAAAAGTTAAACATAGAGTTAACATAGGATTCAGTAATTATACCCTTAGATATATACCCAAAAGAACTGAAAACATATCTCCACACAAAACCGCGCTATGAAAGTTCCAACAAGAAGCTATCCTTGTTTTGTTTTGTCTTTGTTTCTGCAGCATCTAACACAGAACCTGTCAGATAACAAAAACTTGACTGCTATTTAATGAATATGGGCAGGGATGGATGAATTGGCGCTGTCATTTTCCCTGACGTGTCTCCTTCCTAAGAACAGAGCATCTCTGTCTCCAGCCCAGCCTCTGTCATTCCAGCACCTTAAAGCTCCAGCCACACTCACCTGCGAGGATGAGAAGCAGCAGAGCCTGGGACAGCCACATGGTACTGTCTCCTCTCCTCTCCTGGGTGATCACAGGTGTCTGGCGCCCTTCAGACACTTGAATCCAAGCTCGGAAGTCAATGCCGCAAACCTACTTGAATCTCCTTCAAGTTTCTTGCTCACTTCCTATTATGTCTGTAGCTACTTCTCTATTTTACATATTAGGAGAAAAGAAGTGTCATTCTTTGCTATGGTACAGTGTGTGTTGCAAGGTGTGTCCAAACTTTTGTGCATGTAGGAAAGAAAATGGGTCCAGGCCTGCTCAGGTTTGCACGGCAGTGCATGTGGGAGCCAAGGAGCAGGAGGAGCCAGGAGGAACCAGGAGGAACCCAGGCATTGAGGAGCTGTGGGATCTACTGCCAGGAGGAGAAGACAGACAAGGCTGGCCATGAGGAGTGCGGGGAGAGGAGCAGTTTGGGAAGCCCACAGTCCACAGCACTCACACCCAGCCTTGCTGGAGAAAGCCCATGCCCCAGGCTCCTTCTAGGCAGCCCCACTGTAAGACATCTCATTGCCTCTTCCTGCTCTGGGCTGTCTGACCCACTGCCCCTACCCCCAGGACCGCTTCCTCTGGGGTCGTGAGTCACTCTGAAGCCACTGTGAAGCCAAGGACGGGCTCAGTGGGGAAGGTCAGGAATGGAGAAGTTGCCTTTTCTCATTAGCTTCCTCTTACCCTGATTTCATCCTCTCCATCCCTGCACACTTTCCCTGGCTGCTGTTGGAAATTACTTGTTCTGCTGACGCCCAGACGGACTTTCCCAGTCTTTCCCACTTTCTTCAGACGGTCCCTTCCCTCTTTCTCTGTCACCTTCTCCCTCTCCCTTTCCTTCCTGAATTGATTCATTTTGTCTCTCCTGTTTTATATTTTCCATATCTGTGGGCTTTGTTCTACATCTGGGGAGCTTTTTATATTGTTTATTTCATGATTTTACTTTCTCTTCCAATTCTTGGATCAAATATTTATTTTAGAGACTGGATTTTTATTTCAAAAAGTTTTTTTGGTTCTTTGATTGCTAATGTTTTTCAAACTCTCTTCTGTTCCTTGAACTGTATCCCACCACTCTGTGGTCATGTCTTTGTTTTGTTGTTTGGTTTTGTTTGGTGCTTCTTTATGATGAGCCGTCCTCAAATGTCTGCTAATTCTTGGTTATCCAGTCATAGTCAAGAACGAGCTAAAGTGTAGCTAACTGAGACTTCAGAGTATATAGGAGTAAATAATATATAAAATAGCTCTGGTGGCTCACGCCTGTAATCCCAGGACTTTGGGAGGCCAAGGTGGGCAGATCACCTGAGGTCAGGAGTTCGAGACCAGCCTGGCCAACCAACATGGAGAAATCCCATCTCTACTAAAAATACAAAAATTAGCTGGGCAGTGGCACACGCCTGTAATCCCAGCTACTCAGGAGGCTGAGACATGAGAATCACTTGAACCCAGGAGGTGGAGGTTGCAGTGAGCCGAGATTTCACCACTGCTCTCCAGCCTAGGCGAAAAAGTAGTTCCAAAAAAGACACTTGTACACGCATGTTTACAGCAGCACAATTTACAACTGAAAACATAAGGAACCAGCCTAAATGCCCATCAAGCCATGAGTGGATAAAGACAATGTGGTGTACATATACACCATGGAATAGTATTCAGCCATAAAAAGGAACAAAATAATGGCATTCACAGCAACTTGGATGGAGTTGAAGATCATTATTTTAAGTGAAGTAACTCAGGAATGGAAAACCAAATATTGTATGTCCTCACTTATAAGTGGGAGCTGAGCTATGAGGATGCAAAGGCACAAGAATGATACAACGAATTCTGGGGACTTAGGGGAAAGGATGGGGGGAATGAGGGAAAAAAGACTATATGCTGGGTACAGTGTACACTGCTTCAGTGACAGGTGCACCAAAATCTCAGAAATCACTGCTAAAGAACTTATCCTTGTAACCAAAAGCCACCTGCTCCCCAAAAACTATTGAAATAAATATAAAAAGAAAAAGAAAATGAATAGTTCTAATTTATCATGCCAAATTATTTGAACCCTTGATTCTTTCTTGACTTACAAGCTACATTTTAAGGTGTGTGGGCAGAGAGGGGCCTTCTAAATTCTAGAATGAAGAAGATTGAAGTTGAGCTCCAGCATTCTCACTGCCGTGGTTTCCCCAGATATTATATTAAACTAAATAACTCCTGCTCTTTTGCTTGGGGGTCACTGCCTGCCTCAGGTATTTGGGGTATATGCAAAGATGCACATTTTTGGCCGGGCACAGTGGCTCGCATCTATAATCCCAGCACTTTGGGAGGCTGAGGTGGGTGGATCACCTGAGGTCAGGAGTTCAAGACCAGCCTGGCCAACATAGTGAAACCCCATCTCTAATAAAAATACAAAAATTAGCCCAGCATGGTGGCGCATGCCTGTAATCCCAGCAACTTGGGAGGCTGAGGCAGGAGAACACAAGAACCCAGGAGGCAGATGTTGCAGTGAGCCGAGATCACACCATTGCACTTCAGCTGGGGTGACAGAGTGAGACTCCATCTCAAAAACAAAACAAAACAGAACAAAAATGTGTTTGTGGAACTGCTCCATGAACAAAGCTCCAATTGGGTCCCCAGTCTCCATTCCCACTTCTGACCCACACTCTGCATCATACCTGCTGGTTCTGAGTTCAAAGCCTCCCGTGAGTTTTATCAGGTGGGTCAATTAGAAGCAGGAGTTGCAAAATGCAATTTATTTTATCTGCCCTTTATTCTGAGGGTACACCCAATATGCCCCAGACCAACATAACCCTAACTTTTGACACGGCACGTCCCTAAACCAGTGTAGGGTTTATCTCCCAGTCTCTGGAGCACATCCAGTTGCTAGCCTCTTCTTGTTATCAGGTCCAATTCGCATGATGTCATAAACGCGGGGGACTACCTTTATGTTCTGGGCAATGGCTGGACGATTCAGGTTTCTTAGAATACTATGAGAAGAAGAAAATTAACACAGTCCTGGAACAAGACTATCAAAGTATACTGTTGTCCATGCCGAGTGAATGTACCTGCCTCTGTTCCTCCTTCCTGATGGTGGTGGAAAGCGTGCTTTTGCCAGATCAACAGTCACACACAACACACCAGGTTATGTTCATCTATTCTAGTAAACCTGTCACTGTTGGCACAGAAGCTGGAAATTTGGCTATTGCTTTAATATGGTGGTGAGTTTGTTGCTGTTTTGTTTTGGAGACAGGGTCTCACTCTGTTGCCCAAGCTGGAGTGCAGTGACACAATCATAGCTAACCGCAGGCTCCACTCCTGAGCTTCAGTGATCCTCTTACCTCAGCCTCCTGAGTAGCTGACAGTACAGTCGTGCAACATTGCACTGGCTAATTTTTTTTAAAACACTTTTCTGTAAAGAAAGGATCTTGCTCTGTTGCCCAGGCTAGTCTCAATCTCCTGGGCTCAAGTGATCCTCCTGCCTTAGCTTCCCAAAGTGCTGGGATTATAGGTGTGAGCCACCACGCCCAGCCTCTTGGTTTAGTTTTCACTAGCCCATTGACCTTGGTAAATTAAAGGCAGATCTGGTGGGACCACAGCCTTGTTTCTTTGTCTTGGAGGGTGGCACTGATCTCTGTGTTCCTGGCAGAATGTGACATTGTTTGAGATTTACTATCTTGGCCGCAGCAGAGGGACAGCCTTGAAGGCTTCCACTTGGCCTTCCCCAGTCTGATCACTTTTACTGCACAGACCAGAGAGTCAGTATTCATATGCACCAGTTGCTAAGTGTATCCACTTCTATCATTTCTAAAAATCGGGGCAAGAACCACTGGGCCGCCTCTCTTATCTCTAGGATCTTGATTTTGCCTCCGGTTTTAATCAGGACTTGCTGCCTGGTCCAAGTGCTCAGCTTGTCTCAGACCACCCAGTGACTCCACCTGCCCTCTTCCCTTCTGGAATTCTCTCAGCCCCGTTGCTCCTGTGGAGTTCAGTTATGTAATGGCATCTCCTCCCGTGAGTCTGGCCTACAGAGACAGTCACTGCTGAGCCTCTCCGTAATGCAAATGCCCCATCACCAGCATAGTTCTCATTTCCCTGGTAATTGGAGTATCCTCCAGGGCATCCCAAGGATAATACTCATTAAATACTAATTTAATTTAGTATGCTAAGTGAAACTAGCATATTTTACCTGAAAACACAATCAAATAATTTCATGTGAGTCTTTTTAAAAACAACCTTGCTTTTTTATAGCAATTTTAGGCTCCCAGCAAAATTGAGCAGGAAGTACAGAGATTTCCCACATGCCTCCTACCCTCACACAGGCACAGCCTCCCCCATTATCAACATCCCCAACCAGAGTGGGACATCTGTTACAACTGGCGAATCCATATTGATACCTGTGACCATTTGAAGTCCAAGTTTGCGTTGGGGCTCACTCTTAGTGTTGCATATTCTATGGGTTTGGACAAATGGATGATGAGAGCATCCTATAGAGTAGGTTCACTGCCCTGAAGATCCTCTGTGCTTCCTTGAGCCTTTTGATCCCTTCTTCCACACCCTGCCACGATGTCTTTACATCATTGAGTGTGGGGTTTTGTTGCTTCCAAGCTTCTCAGGGCCATCCCAGCAGTGCACTAGGACCACTCTCCCAGCTTTGCAGGTGGTGAGTCCTCCTACATTGCATGGATGAGTACCTCTATGTTGAAAAACCCTTCCTGGCTCAGCACTATAGTCCACTGCCCTGGGATCCACTCTCACACACACTCTTCTAACTGGTTCATGCCAGTGTATATTAGTTCTCCTGTTCCCTTAGCAGCGTGTTCCTAGGTGGGTCAGGCCGACACTCAACCTTAGTTATGGGTCAGAAACAGAAATGAGGGCAGATTCCTCAAGTTGATCCTTAGGGGGCAGCAATGTCTGGTGAGGCATCTGCTTCATTGGAGACCTCAGCATCCTCTTCAACAAGGGAGCTGTTACCTTCTAACAAGTGCACCTGGCTGCTCTGCAGTGGGAGGCTCACGGGCTCAGGTGAATTGCCAAATGTTCCGTCCTCAGGTTCCTACTTTTTCCTGCAGGGGCCTGACTTGTTAAGGCTAAGGGTTGAGTTTTCACTGAAGTTTCACTTTTAAACTTGGGTCTGGGCCTGTGTATTAGCCCATTCTTATGCTG